AGGCGTACCACCCGCTCCCATTTCATTATATATCTTGTGGTAGGCGTACCACCCGCTCCCATTTCATTATATATCTTGTGGTAGGCGTACCACCCGCTCCCAGTTACAAGCCAACAATAATCACAAGGAATCCCGGCAAGGGAACAAGAGCAATATAACAACTTTCCGGCAAGGGAACAATAATATTTCAACAACATCCCGGCAAGGGAACAATACTATCAAAACAAACATCCTGGCAAGGCAACAATAATATCAAACAAACATCCTGGCAAGGCAACAATAATATCAAACAAACATCCTGGCAAGGGAACAATGGTGATAATAACATATGAAGCGCAATAAACCACAACGGAGTCATAACAATTATAATACAAGACTCACGGACATGCTTGACACCAACATATAGATACTCGTCACCATTCCTATACGTCATACTCTACAATTAACATGTAGAAATTAAGACACAACTTCTAATCCCTCAAGCTAAGGTTAGACCAAACACTTACCTCGCTTTGCAACCAATTCAAAATTCCAACAAGCCTTTGCCTCGCGAATTCGTTCGAATCTTCAAATCTGGTCATAATAATTCAATATACTCAATATAAATCGTACGAATTAATTCTATATGAAAATACTAATTTTCCAACAAAATCCGAAATTTAACTCAAAATCGCTCGTGGGGCCCACGTCTCGAATTCCGACGAAACTCACAAAATCCGATAACCCATTCAACCACGAGTTCACTTATACAAATTTTATCAAATTACGATAACAACTCAAACGATGAGGACACCATGGATTAAACGATGAAAATAACCATGGATTTATGTAATATAAACACTTTCGAGTATAGGACACTTACTTGAGTTGAAATCGTGAAGAACACCTCAAAATCGCCCAAAATCCGAGTTTGAAACTCAAAAAAAAGAAAAAAAAACGTGTTGTTCGTCCTTTAACTGCCCAGAATTTTCGGGGGCACTATTCATGCGTTTTTACTGTTCACGGGGTATTGTTCACGGGGTACTGTACACTGGGTATTGTTCATTGGTACTGTTCACGGGGTACTATTTCTGCAAATTTTTTGCTATTTTCCCAAGTTCGAAATCACTCCGAGACACCTCCGAAACACTCCCGAGCCCTTGGGGCTCCTAACCAAACACATGCACTAACTCAACAACATCCTAAAAACTTAGCCGTGCGATCAAATCGCCAAACTAACATCATATACCACGAATTAAGCTTTAAAATCCAAGAATTCTTTCAAATTTCATAAAATATCAAATTTTCCATTTTGAGTCCGAAACACGTCAAACGACGTCCGTTTTCAACCAAGCTTTACAGAAAGTGCTTAAACTATATATAAGACCTGTACCGGACACCAAAACCAAAATACGGGCCGGTACTATCACTTTCTAATCAAATTTCATTTCCATTTTCCTTAAATATTTTCAGAAAATAATTTTACTCAAAAATTCATTTCTCGGGCCTGAAACCTCAGAATTCGATTCTGGGCATACGCCCAAGTCCCATATTTTCTTACGGACCTCCTGGAACCATCAAATCTTGGATCCGGGTTCGTTTGCTCAAAATATTGACCGAAGTCAACTCAGTTGAGTTTTAAAGCTCTAATTCATAATTTAATCCATTTTTCATACAAAAACCTTCCAGAAAATTATACGGACTGCGCACGCAAGTTGAGAAATTATTGATAGCTCTTTTCAAGTTTTTAAAACACCGAGATGATTATTAATTTAAAGATGACATTTTGGGTCATCACATTCTCCACCTCTAAAACAAACGTTCGTCCTCNCCGTCTAGTGTAGCAACCTCAGCTATACCATAGAAAACATATCAACGGACTGGGTCTCCACCTCTAGGAGTCTCACCTCCACCTCTAATATCCTGACCCCTACCTATGGTTGGTCATGTAAGTGGAGTAGTAACTGCAATGGGGCATGTAGCCTGAGTGCTTTGACGAAATATGTCTCTCCCAAGTCTAGGATAATTTTTCAAGATGTTCCTAGTATCTCCATTTTCATAACAACTCATCCGCAGTTCGGTTGCTCATACTAGGTCTGTACCGGATAACTTAAATAACCATTGCAAGAAATTTCATGCCACTGGTATATTAAAAGATGACTGCCCCAGCGAGTGTTGTGATTAACTTAAGCATTACGAGTATACTAAATATGTTTTCATGACCCCGTTGATACTAAAATGTAGAATTATTAAGGACGCGGGAATATCTCAAGTTTCATCATCATCCCATTCAAATCTCAACTCTTGATCATATACAAGTTTTGGAAAACATTTCAATACCACATAAATACATCTCAGGCCAAAATCGGTATAACACACGACCCTGCAATTTGATCGTAGATAGTGGACTCCCCTCACTTGGCACGAATCCATATGTCACAACATCCGATAATCCACAATATTTGACCTTCACAACTCAAATAAATCAACCAGACGTCAAGGTACGTTGAACCCCAACATGATTCATTAGGTGATCTTTTGATACGTCTACATCTTCCGTCGGAACCACAACTGGTCTAGTAAATACATTATCTTTCCACTACCTCTACTTGTCATCTCCAACACAGCAAAATCAACCCCATCGCTTTCGACTATCTTCACNCGGCAAGGGAACAATAATATTTCAACAACATCCTGGCAAGGGAACAATACTATCAAAACAAACATCCTGGGAAGGCAATAATACTATAAAGCAAACATCCTGGCAAGACAACAATAATATCAAACAAACATCCTGGCAAGGGACCAATGGTGATAATAACATATGAAGCGCAATAAACCACAACAGAGTCATAACAATTATAATACAAGACTCATGGACATGCTTGACACCAACATATAGATACTTGTCACCATGCTTATACGTCGTACTCTACAATTAACATGTAGCAATTAAGACACAACTCCTAATTCCTCAAGCTAAGGTTAGACCAAACACTTACCTCGCTTTGCAACTAATTCAAAATTCCAACAAGCCTTTGCCTCGCGAATTCGTTCGAAGCTTCAAATCTGGTCATAGTAATTCAATGTACTCAATATAAATCGTACGAATTAATTCCATATGAAAATACTAATTTCCAACAAAATCCGAAATTTAACTCAAAATCGCTCGTGGGGCCCACGTCTCGAATTCCGACGAAACTNACACAGCAAAATCAACCCCATCGCTTTCGACTATCTTCACTTTCTGCAATACTTTATAGCAGCGGTCAAGAAAATCCCGCGGGTCCTCAAAAGATGCACCGCTGAAAGTGGTAGCGAAGAGCTTGGTGAGACATATCCAGCCTCCGCAAAGTCTCCGAAGACGTAATTGATCTATCACCGGTCTGTGACATTGTTTGGCTGAAAAAGCGGCACGTGACCTCGCCATTTGTGAAAGGACAAGAGTAGAGGTTTCAATTTAGCAATGAGAGAACAAAATTGCACGACAGAGAAGAATGAGAGTGAAACTTTTCCTAACTCTGTAGCCTTTAGGGGATAAATACAGACGTCTCCGTACCGATCCCTCAGACTCTACTAAATTTGTCTGTGAATTGTGAGACCTATGTAACCTAGAACTCTGATACCAACTTGTCACGACCCGAATTTCCCACCCTCGGGAGTCGTGNCCTTTAACTACCCAGAATTTTCGGGGGCACTATTCATGCGTTTTTACTGTTCACGGGGTACTCTACACTGGTACTATTCATGGGGGTACTATTTCTGCAAATTTTCTGCTATTTTCCCAAGTCCGAAATCACTCCGAGACACCTCCGAAACACTCCCGAGCCCTCGGGGCTCCTAACCAAACACATGCACTAACTCAACAACATCCTACAAACTTAGACGTGCGATCAAATCGCCAAACTAACATCATATACCACGAATTAAGCTTTAAAATCCAAGAATTCTTTCAAATTTCATAAAAACATCAAATTTTCCATTTTGAGTCCGAAACACGTCAAACGACGTTCGTTTTCAACCAAACTTTACAGAAAGTGTTTAAACCATATATAAGACCTGTACCAGACACCGGAACCAAAATACGGGCCCGATACCATCACTTTCTAATCAAATTTCATTTCCATTTTCCTTAAATATTTTCAGAAAATAATTTTACTCAAAAATTCATTTCTCGGGCCTGAGACCTCGGAATTCGATTCCGGGCATACGCCCAAGTCCCATATTTTCCTACGGACCTCCTAGGACTGTCAAATCTTGGATCCGGGTTCGTTTGCTCAAAATATTGACCGAAGTCAACTCAGTTGAGTTTTAAAGCTCTAATTCATAATTTAATCCATTTTTCATACAAAAACCTTCCAGAAAATTATACGGACTGCGCACGCAAGTTGAGAAATTATTGATAGCTCTTTTCAAGTTCTTAAAACACCGAGATGATTATTTAATTTAAAGATGACATTTCGGGTCATCACAACGTTATTTAGACATTTCGGTTCGGTATTTTTGGTATTCGGTTCCTTAAAATTCTATACCAATATCGTACCTAATTAAATTCGGTATGGTTCGATTTTTCTCCTTTCGATTTCGGTTTATTCGATTCGGTAACTTCGATTTGAATACTAACTAGTGCACAGAGCCATACACTCTAATATTCTAATTAAAGTACTCAAAAATACAAAACTGAAAATGTTTGTCGACAAATTTTTTGTCCAATTCTAGCAAATATCGACTCAAGTAGAGAAAATTGTACACAAAAGAATATTTGATCATTAGAAATGTCTTGTTACTTGTTTAGAGTAATTGATTAACTTTGAGAATAAAGAAAAGTAAAATTTTAGATTTTTTTATATTTATATTATAATTGATAATATATGTTTTGTGTAATATAATATATATTTCGATACGGTATCAATATTTCGGTATTTTAACAAATACCATATATAATACCAATTTTTTAAAAAATTTAAATTAAAAACCATACCAAATACCATATACCAAATGCCCAAATTTTCGGTTTCGCTATGGTAATTTGTATTTACCAAATTATGCCCGGCCCTACTACCCATTGCTCTTCAAACTCCATGGAAATGCAGTGGAAAATCATGGCGAGAGGAGATCGAGACCGACTCAGTGATTTACCCGACGCGATTCTACTTTACATCCTCTCTATGTTGGGGGAGGGAAAAGAAGTTGTGAGAACCAGCGTATTATCTCAGCGATGGCAGTTTCTTTGGAAGTCCGTTTCAGTGTCACTCAATTTCGGCGTCCCCGATTACCCCTATGATGAAAGAACCAAAAAGAAAATTCTTGTTTTCGTAGCTTCCATCAATAGAGAGCTTCATTATTGGAGGTCTTGTGAGAAAATCAAAGCATTTAGGGTTTTTCCCGTTAAATACAAAGAGTATCTTGTTAAAGATTATGATTTTTGGGTATATTTTGCAATGAAAGTTGCTAATGTGGAAGAGTTTACACTTAAATTTTGTATTATCAATTTTCCAGATTGCGCGTATAAGTTTCCCCAATTTGCGTATAAAAATACGTTGTTGAAGAATTTGGTTTTAGGCAGCTGCCAGCTAAACCCTTCTGGTAGTGTGACCTGGACCAGTCTCGTTTCTCTTTCAATTGGTCACCTGAAATTGACGTATAATACGTTGGAGAAGATATTGTCGGGTTGCCCTAACTTGGAGAGCTTGGAACTGGATAGTGTTTTGGGCATTAGTCGTTTGGAAATCAGCTCTGTGAAGCTGAGAAAATTGATCATATTAAATGATGAAAATGATTGTTATAGCCAGTGGCATGACGAAGATACCCATCCGCTCGAAATATTCGCCCCGTATATTGAAAATTTGGTACTTTCGGGGTTCTTATACAACGAGATACGCTTGCAGCAGAGCAATGTAGCTTCACTTGTCACTGCAGTCCTTCATTTTAATGTTGATTTTATTGAATTTGAAGATGAAGAAGAGAAATTGGAGAAGGAGTTTAGATATTTGAAGGAACTTCTTCTCAGCGTTGGCCATGTCGAGAATCTTGAATTGGGTCCCTTGTGCATCGAGGTTTATTCATACTCTTGAGTTTTGATTATTCATATTTTCTTTTTTCATTTTGCGACTTTTTATTTGCTATTAATTTATCCGTTTGTAACATGAACAGTTCCACTACGTAGGATAATCTGATAACTAATAGCCTGTTTAGCCAGACTTATTTTTGGTCAAAAGTGCCTTTTTTTGGCCAAAAGCACTTTTGGTCTCAATTTGAGGTGTTTGGCCAAGCTTTTGGAAAGAAAAAAAAAATGAGCACTTTTTTGAGAAGCACCTTTGAGAAAAATACAGTTAGAAGCAATTTTTTAAAGCTTGGCCAAACACTAATTGTTGCTCAGAAGTGCTTTTCAAACTAATTAGCCAAACACAAACTGCTTCTCACCAAAAGTACTTTTGAGAAAAGCACTTTTGAAAAAAAACACTTGTCAAAATAAGCTGATTTTTGCAGCTTGGCCAAACGGCTATAAGTTTGTAACTCCTGAAGAATAACATTCTCATTGCCCATTTGGTTGGACACTGGCTATTAAACAAATTTTTTTAATGATGAACTGTGAGAATAAAGAGTTTGCAATGGACATAAATATTTAAAATTCCGATTGACTTAAAATCGGTTTCTCCAAGTGATTAAAAATCAAATTAGATTTCCAACCAACCTTGAACACTTTGATGTGGCTTGTGGCAAAACACTGTCGTATAATCCAAGCTGTTTTTACAAATTATTCAACAATATGCATGTCATTTATTTGGTGAATCGCATTCCTTTGTTTGACATATTCTGGTTTATGCATTTGGTTTATAAGTGCTTCCCATACTAGAGTTGAGAGGGTGGCGGTCTCCACCATCAGGCTGCAAATTCTTAAAACTTAACGCAACATTAAAACACTTGGACTTCGCTGGAATTTGCAGCTTTGTGCAGAGTTCATCGGATCTTGAGACATTGGTCATTGACTGGAACAATCACAAACCAATAGTAAGTTCCTTTTAGACCTTTATTCTCGTTATTCCATGTTTATCAAGCAACTATTAATGGTAGAAGACGGCAATATGTATCAATATATTTCTTCTCTAATACTTAAGAGAAAACAATCATTGAATTTTTGTTATAAAAATTTGATCCACCTTGGTGGTATATTTCATAAATGATAATAGCTACTTTACAAGAAGTTCCGGATCTGCTTTTAGTCTTAAAAGTTGATCATTTCTCTTTGCTAAATCTGCTCTCAATTTATTTTCCTCAAGGAAATAGTACTTTGGCAGAAACTTCATCTTATTACTATCAATTCTCTGAGTCATCCAGTTCTGTAGTCAACTTTGTTGTAGTTGTAGATAAAGATGTTTTAACAAGGGGTAGTAGTAGTACTCACCTTCACGTGAGGAGATGAAAGATCAGCTTCAATGAAGCTTTCAAACATTCCATTTGTTGTTTGCATGTAGCACTTTGTAACATTTGCTAAGCACTTAACATGCTCCTTAAATCTGAAAATTCATCTCCTTTTTAATTCTATCCATAAGTAACTCCTTGACTTTCTACTTCCATCTTAGGAGAATAACTGGTTAATATAGCGGATTTTTCCTGCAGGACCGGCTCTTAAGTTACACAAAAGAGGTTGAACAGAGCAGGAGGTTTGAGGCACATAAAAACTGCTCATTGCTACACCTAAAGGTCATCAAGATCATTAACTTTCATGGAAAACTAAGTGGAAATGATCTTGTACTTTGATTGGTAAAATATTTGCTAGAGAATGCAACAGCTCTAGAAAAGTTGGTCATTGTTGCCAAATATGAAGGGAGTGATGTGCCCCGGGATTATGTTGAAGTGGAACAAGAGTTCCTAAGCTTTCCAAGATCCTCTTTGCACGCTTCAGTTGTCTTTTGTTATCGATAATCTTTTTTCCCTCTTGTTTGTATTGATTGCGACGTACTTAACAGCTGTTATTTCATTTAGACACTGGTTTGTAGCTGATAGATATGGTTAGGATTCTGCTTGTCTGTATCCAAGGAGTTGTTAGTAGTTCTTCATGTCTAAGCAACAGTGTGTTTATTCTGTGATCCTCATGTAAGAAATCTTGCTCTAAATGTTACGTAAACTTCTATTCGTGTTGCAGAACCATGATCATGTTTTTGCAGTATGGAAAGTTAAAGGTTGAAAGCAGTATTTCATGATTCATTATGTGACCAAGGTTTTTTTCTGTTGGCCTATGTTATTAACACAAACATAAGAAAAGTGCAGATTTTTATTTCCCGGAAATGAACTTACTGCAATAGACTTGTTTATATAGTGTATGACTAGTACTATATTAAAAGCACGAAGCTCCATAGCAAAATGTCGTCCGACTTTTTTACCCTTTAAAATTAGATTTCACATTAAACAAAACTGTAATTTGATAATTTTTCCTAAAATTTAGGAGTTAAAAAGCAACTAATATTTTAAGTATTAAACCTTTTCTTATTTGAATTATGTAGAAAGTTCTAAAATTTAGGACCTTAAAATTTGTTAAGATTTCAACTTAATTGTTTCCTTTCCGTATTTGAATTCCTTCCACGTTAATTTTTTTAGTATTATATAACTTATTTTATTTATTAAATCCTTTTTTATTTGATTAGCACGAAATCAACAAATAGATAAAATTAGTTTGGAAATACATGAAGGAATAAAAAGCACACATACATACTACAAAGTAAGATAATACAAGAAGGAACATACTAAAATAGTTCATTTTTGGACAAAGCGTATTTCATGGTTCAACATTCTCTTTAATTATAAATTAAATACTTAACATAATCATATAGAACAAATTATTTTTATTTAAAAGAAAGTTTTTATTCATTGGTTTTTATATGACATTATTTTAAAACTACATTAAATAATTAGAACAAATAAAAAATTTTAGAATATAAAAGAGAGAGAGAAAAAGTGGTTGGCAAGAGTCAATAAAAATAAAAGATTCAAAATTCCGTATTCAGTTAAACTAAATTAAAGCATATGAATAATATTAATCTAATTCTTTAAAATTGTGTATTTATTGATATAGATACACGCGCAAAGCGCGTACCCTAAGACCAGTTAATTTAAAATTGAAGAGGCGTAGTAAATATAACACATTAATTATCAAACCTCACGTGAGTAATTTTCCATCCAAAGAAAAGCTACATTTCCATTGTTAGATATCCTTCGACAAATATAAGAAGTATAAAAAGAAATCAAGAAAATTAATTTTACACTCAAAATAATTATTAATTATTTTTCTAACTTTTAGGACGTTAAAATTAGCTGAAATTTTACTTATTATATTTTTTTATTGGAACTATGTAAAAGTCTTAATATATAGAATTATATGATGTGTAATATATTTATTAAATCAAAACTAACGTGATTATTTGCCATTCAAAGCAAAGCTAAACTTCCATTGTGATATTACCATGGTTTCAGCTATCGTTTCTCTTTTACTATAATTCAAAGGTCTAAAAAAATAACTTTATCAATTAAAATTTGAATGATTATAATAAAATAACAATAAACATTGATTTTCTACCTTATTTTTTGTGACCTTTATTTTATACGACCATTCGATTAAAATTTTCGTATGATAACCTACAGAGTCTTTTTTTTTCTTTTTATAACCATTCTAATAAATTACAGCTTCCTATATTTACATTATTTTTTATAAAGTATTAACTCTAATATTATAGTATTTTTTAAAGATTTTATATTATTATTTATTTATCGAGCTAACGGGCTAAAAATGATCAATGTTCATCATATTTAAGAACTTATACTTTTTATTTTATTTTATTCAATAACTCACATTATTTAAGCGTATTTTAAAAAAATTATATATTCATTGATATAGGGTACACACACAAAGCCCGTACCCTAATACTAGTTAATTTAAAATTGAAGAGGCGTAGTAATTATTATTATAGTAAGAGTCTAAGGATGAACTGAAACGTGACCACAATTAAGAAGCATTCAACCAAAACTGAACTAAGTACATCCATTTCTTAAAGTTCTGTTAAGTTTCTATAATTATAATTGGGGCGTAATAACTTTCTGACCACTTAAATTTGTAAAGTTTTTGAAAGTCGATACACAAACTTTTAACTTTTACATTTGAATGCTCAAACTTGTATAGTATTTGATAACTAGTAAACATATTTGACGTTGATCATGCACTTGTGGCAGTGACAAGTGACAGAGATAATATGGACAAAGTATGTGCAAATCACCTAAACTAAGGGCGTCACTACAATGATTTTTATTAAACAAATCTAAAATAAAAAAAAATACAAAGAAAAAGAAAGAAAATAAGCCCTGCCCCAAAATCATTAAACCCCTATTCCCCCGCCACATCAACTTCTCCGAACAAAGTCACCGGTTGTTTCAGAAACCTAAGGCGGCGAATCACCTCCTGTCGGGGAAGGTTTAAATCATCGATTTTTTGCTCGTCGCTTAGTGCTCTGGAAGCCAAAGAAGATGATGAATCCTGCTTGAGAGATTGGATGTCGGTTTTGGAGTTTGATTTTGACGAGGATTTATCGGTAGGGTTCTGTTGCTCCCCCCTCCCTCCTTCTTTTATTTCTCCCCCACTCCAATCTTTCCCCGCTTCTTCATCTGTTTGTTCCAAACCAGGCAGCAGTGGTGAAAAACAAAGAAAAGCAATAAATTTTATCAAAAATTTTCTGTCAATTTTTTTTTCTCACATTAATTCCCTCTCAAACTGGAAGACGGATAGAGAAAAGAGAAAGACCATAAAAAAATACGAATTTTGGGTGAAAATTTCTAATTACGCAGTCCGACTTCTTCTCTCTTTTGGATTTCACCATTGGTGTTCTTCTTTGACATAGCTTCGCCGGCTCTTTTTTGCCTCGACGGAATTATAGAAGGTGGCTCATCGATTCTTTGACTTGTAATTGGGATATGGATTATATGAATTTTGTTAGAAGTGAAAAATGGTGGATTTTATGTAAGTTCATGGCTGATTTTGGTTGGTCTATTGATTAAAAGATGGGGGACCCCAATCACTTGGGGTTTGTTTTCGCACCCTTAGACGTGTAACAATTGCATTGGTCATTTGCTGACTAGATGGACACGTCTGTGTATGTGTAATACACGCGCATAGGCTCAAGGGTTAGAAGTGTTTATTAGTTAAGGGAATCATGACTTCGAGTGTTCAAATGAGAAAGTCCAAAGTTTGTGTATCAGCTTTCAAAAGTTCTACAAATTTAAGTGGTCAGGAACCCATTACGCCTTATAATTGCCACGAATACCACCAACATCCATAATAACACAAAGCACATGACAAAAAGTAGGGTTGTACATGGACCAGGTTGGTTCGGTTTTTATCAAAATCAACCAAACCAATTATATCAGTTCGGATTGGTTTGGTTTTGTCGGGTTTTTTTTGTTACATGTATATTATTTCAATATTACTTTATTAAAATTATAGATAAAACTTTGATAAGTGAATATATGTTTAGTAAATATGGAAAAAATTGACAAACATATGATCTATTAAAATATTCTAATGGGAGAAATTTTTTAGTAACACATGATAGTTATTTTCTTAGTCGTCTAACAATAATTTTTCAGTTAATTTACGCTTTCAAGATTAATACATAAGAGGATCCCAAATATTTCTATATTTTCTAAAGAAAAATCACTATAAAGTCTTAAAAATATAAATAAAATTTATATATTTATATGTTGGTTTGGTTCGGGTTTTTTTTACTCAATATTAAACCAAGTCAAACCAGACCTAGTCGGGTTTTTTAATCGATTTGGTTTGGTTTTTCGGTTTGGTGGGGTTTTCTGGTTCGGTTTGAACACCCCTAACAAAAAGTAATTAGTTTACAATAAAAATTGGTATAGGAAGAAAATGAATAAATTCTTGTGACTTTGATTTTCAAATAGAAACGCATTATGTATCAAATTTAGATTAATATGAGATTACTGAAAACAACGTAGTCAAAGTATATACAAAACAATTTTTATTGTATTGGCCGAGTTGAGTTAAAATTTAATTGAGAGAACAAAAGATAATTACTTGAATTCTTTTTTCCTTATCCTTCTTTATTTTTGCTGATTTATCTGCTAATGTTAACTTTTAATCCAAAGTATCCATTGCCGGAAAACCAAATCAGACATCTTTTTTGAGAATTGAAATTTAGGACAGTGGTCTAAAAATTATTACTATGGAATTGGAAGAAATATATCTGTCTATATTTTAAATGCATTACAAATGTAGGCTATGTTTTAAAGAGCAGCCTCTAAAAGTGGCTAATAGTCTCCCTTGCCGGAATAGAGAAATCTGGAGAGATGGCTGTTTCACGAGCACTCAGAAGGTTCTGGAGAACCTATTCAACGGTTTCGTCGGAGCGACTACGCTTTTGCATCGTCGGCAGCGGACCTGCCGGTTTCTACACTGCTGATAAGGTACCGTACCTCTATCATCGCTTTGAATTTTCTACAAATTTCGCATATTTCCTATTGTTGCAACTGAATTTAGGAACCTAGATTTTTTTTTTGTCGACTACTATTTGACAGATATTGAAAGCTCACAAGAGAGCTGAAGTAGATATAGTGGATCGGTTACCGACGCCATTTGGATTAGTCAGGTCCGGAGTCGCTCCTGATCATCCTGATACCAAGGTCTTTTACTTTCTGGGAAATAAATTTAGCTATAGCTGCTTGAAAATCTTTTTATTTTCTATTTAAATGCACAAGTTTGCATCTTGTTATATCATTTGTGCAGTTCTCTAATAATAATGGCATATTACTATTTGGAGGAGGACACAAATTTTGCCGTGACCATATTTTTTCAATAACGAATTCCCATCTTGTATTTCACTATACGAGTAAATCAAAGCAATTTTTGAGTAATTAACAGAATGCTTCTATTTGAGACAATGAAAGCAATGAATTGGAGCGTTGTACAATAACCTTTTGGACATTTTAAAGTTTAAAACTTCATGAGATACTGCTCTTATTTGTGCTTAGTTTACCAGAATACTTGCAACAGATTGTGACAAACCAGTTTTCTCGGGTTGTTCAAAATGGACGTTGCTCGTTCATTGGGAATGTGTCGATTGGAATTTCCATATCCTTGGCTGAGCTGCGTGAATTATATGATGTGGTA